TCTCAACATGGTCACAACTGTGTCACCAACCTTCCCTTGACCCACAGGTAAAGTCCTGTCCTCCACAACGCCACTCCGTTCCATACATGCACCATTCACAACCTTTAACTGCTCCCCGGATGCTAACAACAAATGGTCCTTCTCAATCATTTTAAGCACATCACTGTTAATTTGAACAGCACAGCTAGCACTGATATTAGACTCCTCTTTAACCACTGCAGCTGCACCAGCAGTAGTGCTGGGTTTGACACTCTTTCTTTCTTGACCCCTGTGTTGTTCACTACGGCAGAACTTAGCCACATGTCCTATGGCACCACACTGGAGGCACTGTTCACCCTCGTCATGGTTGACATCAGTATCGCGGGATGGACATTGTGCTGCTTGATGACCAACACCCTGACATACATAACACCAAATACTACTACCCTGTCCCACATCAGTATTTCTAATGGCAGTCTTATTATCGTTACGCCTTACCTGGTCCTTTGAGGATAGCTCTAATTTCCTCAACTCAAATTCTCTTTCCTTTTCTCGCTGTTCTGCTTCCATTCGCAATTTCTCTCTTCCGCCTGCTTCCGCTTCCAGCCGTAACTTTTCCTTTCTTCCCTCAATCTCCATTTTCCTCACCTCTGCTTCAATTTCCATTTTTGCTTTCCTCTCTTCCCTCGCCGCTTGTCTGTCAGCCCGCTGAGAACCCAGTTGCTCCAAAATAAATTTCCTTTTGTCTTCTCCAGTCATTCCCAGTTCATCCGCTCATTCCATCAACTCTTGTTTCGACATATCTTTTATCTCGCTGGCCATGTTGTCTTCTATATGTCTTCACTGTTCCCGGACGAGCCCCCAGATGTCACACGCAACGTAATATTATCGTAATTGGTATAGTACATGTGTGATGGTTCAAATACCAAAATGGCAACAGTGACATAAAGACTTCCCTGGCGGCGATGATAACCTGCGAACACGGAGCCAACAGATGAGGTTTCAACTGGTACTGGTATTATTATACTCTGCAAACATCAAGTACAATAACGCGGTAAAACTCCACTACTCCAATAACTAGATACTTAAACCTCAATACAATTCAACGAGATCTCCGATCTGAAATCAGTGCTGAACAACATTCTCAGTGACACGGAAGTGGTAAATAAGTCGTATGCGACAAAGTAACAAGTTTTCGTGGTGTTGTGGTTACCACGTTCGCTTCACATGCGAAGGGCCCCCGTTTCGAACCCGGGCGAAAACAAAAATCATTTAGTTTTAATTAACGCCGCATTGGAAAAGAAATTCCAATTTACTTATAATTAACACCACCTTACGAAACGTGTCTTTGAAGACAATAGGTAAATTAGTGTACATTACACCTCTATTCATATGTAGTGCTAAGTGGTACTTCGAACATCGATAACGTGGATTAAAATGCAATAAACTTTGAATAACGCCACTAAAAAACTGCAGATTAAGAGAAGTTAGCTTTTAGGCACGTAGTTGCACATGGTATCCAGGATAGATATCGTTTCAAATTATTTACTGGCTTCATATTGTTTCCGCCTGGGCTCGAACCAGGAACCTTTCGCGTGTTAGGCGAACGTGATAACCACTACACTACGGAAACAGGCTGCTTGCTTTTCTTACATCTTCTCTAAAATACAATTAACAGTATAGTGAATTGATCACACAATCTTCCAATTGTGCAGTTTCAAAAACTTGCGAATACAACATTTGAAGTAACGAGTAACGAGTTTCATAGCTTATCACGTTCGCCTCACACGCGAAAGGCCCCCGGTTCGAACCCGGGCGAAAACAAAAATCAATTAGTTTTAATTAACAAATTCCAATTTACTTATAATTAACACCACCTTAC